ATATTGCCACCGTTCTCACTTAAAAGTCCAATTATTCATTACTCATTCAATAGCGTGCAAAAAGGGAAGATTGTTCTAGATTCAAAGGGGAAGGTGAGGACCTTGGTAGAATCCCCTTTCAAACAAGCCAACTGTAAAAGTACATTCTGAAGTCAATCGAGGAGATTTGAATATAGATTGGTTATTAGATGTGATTAAAGAATTATTGTTAATTTTGTTAGGTCGCGTAACAGTATTGTGGCTGTGTAATAAAATGTCCTTTCTTCGAGACATATAATATAGGGTAAAATGTCATAATATCCGCTATTTACTTCAGGAAAACATGATCAAACGGATACGGTAAAACATTAAAAACTGTTCGATCTAATTGATAACATATGAGGCTTCGGTGGGGCCTGATGCTGTCTTTTCTGAAGTACAGAGAGAGGTCAGGGGGTGTCTGGACTGTCCGCTGTCGCTTATAGGATGCTCAAGGTCAACCCAGCCCATAGAGAAAGGAAATGAGTAATGTATGAAAGGGGAGGTTGATGGGGCACTGGGGTCCCATGGGAGAAGGTCAGAAAAGCCATGGGTGCAGTGTGGCAGTGGCAGCAGCATCTCCCTGCAGAGCTGGGCTGCTGAGACCCCAGCACTGCCACGTCGTCACCGCCCCGGGCAGGAAGGGCCCCCTTGTATGAAAGGGGAGGTTGATGGGGCACTGGGGTCCCGTGGGAGAAGGGCAGAAAAGCCATGGGTGCAGTGTGGCAGGATGGCCGTGTCCTGGATCCAGAGCCAGAAGCGATTCATTGCAGGATTGGGGCTCGCAGAAAATGGGAACACCCAAAGCTGAGAAGATGCTGAGCGTCCGAGGAGCTAGGCAGCTCGAAGTGACAAGAGGGATGCCAGCCTGGTCAGGCGGAGAGAGCACAGCTGGCCAAGGAGGGAAGGTTTTGTTCTGTGGACCCACTGCCCAACTCAGAGGAGCAGCTGGCGGCAGAGAGGAGGCCGGGAGCCAGGGCAAGAGCACCCGGCAGTGGCAGCAGCATCTCCCTGCAGAGCCGGGCTGCTGAGACCCCAGCACTGCCACGTCGTCATCGCCCCGGGCAGGAAGGGCCCCTGTTGCCCGTGGAGGGGCTGTCTGCCCGATTCGCCCGGCCCCGCCCAAAGCTGCTTCTGTGATTCTGCTTAATTACGCAAAGCCCGGCCTCTGGCCGGTGGATGTGAGGAGAAAGCTGATACAGGACTCTGAGCTCTCAGCTCCTGCAGGAAAGGGGACTTGCCAGAGGTGGCCTTGCTGGTGTGGAATGACCCAGAATATCGGTACGCCCTGACCGCCTCCCATCCAAACGTCAGCTTCCGTGTTCCCTGAGGTCTCAGTTGAGTCTGGGGGCGGCGTGGTGGCCTGTGCTTCCTCGTGTTTACTAATGAGGGAACAAGCTGGGCCTTTAAGGGGAGAAATGACTGGGCTCTGCAGGCTGGGAGGCCTGGGGTGCCACAGAGGGAGGGTGACGCAGACCCAGACCCGTGGCCGTCTTTCCGGGCTGACCAGAGCCTCCCACCAAGCTGCTTTACCCTCCTTACAGAAGATAGGGACCCCAAAATTCTCTGCGCAAATCAAAGACCAGGTGACACAGGAGTTGGCCCACTGGAGTCAACAGCTCCCTCTGCTCTTGGCATTGTGGGGGTGAGGGAGGAGCTGGGGAGGGAGCAGCTTGACAGGGGACCCCGCAGGTGCCACATCCTCTCCCAGCTCCCCAGCCCTTCACACCCACACGGGCAGCTTAAACACATCTGCGCGTCAGCGGCTCCCGCCTGGGGCTTCTGCCAGGAACTGCTCTGAGCCCTCGCTGTCTCCGGGGAGAAACAAAGCGAGGCCAGTGCCCCGGGGAGCCTGCTCGTCTGCAAAGAAGAGGACACAGTTTTCATTCACCGAGTGTCCACTTCGTGCAGGCGCTATTCACTCTGCACTCGGACTATCATACCAGAGCTAGAAAATCACTCTGCACTCAGGCTATCATACCAGGGTGGCGAGGGGGCGTCTTTTGTTAAAGAATAGTTGACGTACGATATCATGTTAGTTTCGGGCAGACAACACAGGGATTCAACATTTATGTACCTTATGACGTGGCCGCCTCAGTTAAGTCCAGTCCCATACAGAGTTGTTTTGACATTGCTGACTGTGTTCCCTACATGACATCCGTGACTTATCTAAGTCAGTACTTCTTATGCCCCTTCACCTTTCATCCACCCCCTGAAGAAGAGCCTGGTTGGGACCCCCGTAGTAGGGGGGGGTGTCCCTCACAGTGTCCCCGGCTTCGCTTTTCCTTGCCCTAGAGCTGAACAACAGATTGTCCCCAGCTGCTTGGAACGTCTCCTGCCATAGAAAGTCACCCTGGAACTAACGATTAATACCTCCCTGCTTACTGATCGCAATCCTGGCCCAGCCTTCTTTCCAGACCCCTCCCATCTCTGTCCTGGTTGCCGACGGCGCTGGAGAACCACGTTGGCAGAGGACCGGCTCCCTCCAGCATGATAGACGCCCTCATCCCCGGAACCACCACGCAGCCCCCAGAATAACGCCCAGATTTCCCCGTAAACACTCTGAGCCGGACTGAGACAATAAGGCAGTGTCTGAAGGTGGTAACCCGCTGCCTTCTCAGATCGCCGGTGTTCCGACAATAAACACTTACCCGAAACAGCCCAGCTCCTGTGTCCGTCCGGTGGCCGAGCGGCACAGGCAGCACGGGCTGGACTCGGATGCCCGCCGGTTTCACCTCCCTCTGGCACCCACCAGTTTGTCCTCTGTACCCAGAGTCTGTTTCTCTGACAGGGCAAGTTCAGCATGACATGGGGGCCTTCCTAGGAAATCCATGCGGAGAAGCCCTGGATTCCAGGACAGACTCACTTCCCCTGAGATGCAGCCACATCTCAGGGGCAATAAAGAAGCCGCACCAAAAAGTGACATCTCCCATTGCCTTAACCCGGGTGAAGAAAGAAGCATAAAGCAAATTCTAAGGTGTCTGAGAGGAAAAATATGCAGCATTGGGATCTTTAACCTGCCTCACGGGCTGTATCAGTAAGGGGTCCCCAGGACGATCCCTACCTGGGACCTGAGACGCCCCCCAAATCAAGGTCATTTTGTAATGAGACCATTTTTCTGGTTACTAGACTATCCCCCAAAGTAGTTGAGACCTGTAAGCCTTAAAAATAAAACTACAGGTTGCAAATTGAGTATTATATTGTACTTGAAATTTAGGCGGCCATGCTATATTTGAAGCATAAGGGAGAATTGGTTTGTGGCACTTTATTTTAAACCAACGGGGTGGCATGGGGACTTGTACCTGGTCAATGAGCATCAGACTAATACCAGCTAGGTCTGCAAGGGTTGGCCAGGTTTCTCTATGGGCTGGTTGACCTTGAGCATCATATCAGCGACAGTGGACAGTGGTCTCTGGGAAGCCTGCAGGTGGCTGGACATACACCCGCTGCGTCTCACCAATGGAAGTTCTGGCGATGCTGCTCCCTCACCCCCCGACAGGACAAGGAAGGGTCCCTTTTCTCCTGGGCCCCACAGGCTGGTGGAACAAGTACATCTTCTTCTGCATCGTCAGATGAACTGAATGCTCTCCCTGCAGCGGTGACATCCCAGAGCTCACCTCTACCTGCAGTTAAGGACCTACCGCTTCCTCCCCACGGGCCTCGGGAGAATTGCAGGTGGCACTAAAGCTGAGTGGCGTTTTAGCATAGTTACGAGCCCCGCCCCATTCATCTAGCTCCGCCTCTGGAAGTCGAGAGCGAATCCTCAATCAGACTAGTACAGAGGCCGAGGCGCGTGCATGCGCTCTCTCTCCAGTAGCTCTCCATAGGGACGGAATGTCTGTGTCCCTCAAATTCATTTGTTGAAACCCTACCCCCACCCCAAGTGATGGTGTTAGGCGGTGGGGCCTTTGGGAGGTGGTTAGGGTTACGTGAGGTCCCGAGGGTGGGGCCCTGATGAATGAGGTCAGCGCCCTTATAAGAATAATGAGAGAGCTCGCTTCCTCTCTCCGCGGTCCGTGTCAGCATACGGCTGAGAAGTCAGCAGTCCGGACTTAAAAGAGAGTCCTTAACAGAAGCCAAGCATGCTGGCTCCCTGACCTTGGACTTCCAGCCTCCGGGACTGTGAGGCATAGATGTCCGCTGTTTATAAGTACCAGTCGGTGGTGCTTTGTTACAGCAGCCCGAGCTGACTCAGACATTCATCTTCCTTTACACTTCATTTCTAAAGTCTGTGTATGAGAACCAGCTTTGTCCCCATCTACCCATTAGGACACTCGGCTGTGACATCGATTTTCTTACCAACGAGATCCCTGTGTTCAGCTGTGAGCAAAACTAACCTGGATCGCATTTCCCCTCTAGCTATTTGTCAGGTGAGAATTACCCTACGCGAGAATTTTCCTTTAGACTCAGCAGGCCCCCGATGCGTCGGCAGAGCACTTTCTCCCATCTGAAAGTGAGGAAGAAAGGCCCGTTTGCCCAGCAACCTGCCCGGCCCCCTGCGGGTGGCTGGACATACACCCGCTGCGCCCCGCACCCCCACCCCAGGACAGCTAGAGCCCACTCCTTCCCAGACAACGGCCACGGGAAGCAGCTCGGCCGAGGTGAGCCTCTCCTGCAGAAACTCATGCACGTTTTCCATCTTTTGGCAGCTTCGAGCTGAGCCATTTCCCAAAAACATCTTTCCTAAAGCGTGAAGAGTCCAGGGCACTCCCCAGGCTTGCACGCCACGAGAGAAAGGCAGAGACCGTTTTGGCTCACAGTTTTAATGGATTTCTGTCCCTGCAGTGGGCCCCAGGGTCAGCCTCCATGCCGCCGAAAGAGACCCCGGGCTCCCCAACCGGCCCCCGTGGGACAGGCCAGGATCTCAGGGAACATTGACGGGCCAGAAGGAGGTGGACGACCAGTGAATGCCTCTTGAGGATCGATGTTCACAAAATTGTAAAGAAGGGGCCAAAAAGAGGCAGGAAGCCTGGCGAGACGCGTCACCGCCGTCCACAGCCCTGGGTCAGACCAACGCACAGCGCGGCCACCGCAACGGAAGGACGCGCGGGCCGAGCTCGCCGCTCCCCGGGACCCGTGCGACTTTGCCGGGCGTCCTCCTGCCCCACAGGGCTGCGAGCTTGCCCCGGCTCCGTGCTCCGTCCTCCAGGAAGTGCCTCACTAACCCCTACGCCAGAGCACTGCAGAAATGCAACTTAGGAAAAGCTTAGACCCAGAGGGGCTTCCAAAAATAGGTGTGCAGGTGCGTGTGTGCATAAAATGTATAGACACACGCACTCGGCGTCAGGATCGACACTACCGTCCAGGGGTCTGTGGGTTTCCCAGGCATGCGTTTCGGGAGGCCTTCCCCAGATCACTGGAAACGGGTCAGTGACGTTCCACTTAGGGAAGAAAAGAAAGTAGTCGTACCCAGACCGCTTGGCGGGGCCAAGAATAACCCGGTCCTCCAGTTCCCCTGCCTCCGAAGCAGGTCGCAGGCGATGCCTGCCTCCTGGCCTGGACCCGCAGGACACCCCCCAGGCCAGTGAAGGCCTCTGCTGTGGGAGGCCACAGCTCCCAACAGCGGAAGTGCTGTGGCGCTGTCTGCATAAGAGGTTACACGACTTGTAACGGTAAAACGCTCACTTGTTCTGCATCTATATTCTTCCTTGTTGCAATCTAATTGTCTGTTTCCGATGCCCTCCATGGCAACCCGAAACATCCCGCCCTAGAAGTCACACACTTCCGTTCGTACCCACCACCCACGATTCCATTCACATTAACGAGGGCGTGCATCCTCGAAATGATCGCGAATGCAGCTGTGGCTTTATCTTCGGGATTCATAATTATAATAATAATAATTAATTACTTAAAATGTTTTAAAAGCTGCGAAACAGACAATCATACTCTTCCTCGCGATGCCTACCATGGATCACGTGTTGTACCCACGTGGAGATAAGACAGGTCCATATGAATAAACGCCGCGTTTCAAAGTGCCGTCGGTGAGTGGTTCATCCAAGCTCCGGCCACTTACCTCAGCCAGAGAGAGCTGGACAGTGCCGTTCTGGTCCTTGTCCAGACGCCTGAATAGTTCTAGAACACCGGAGAAGGAATGAAATTAGATCGAGATGGTTTTGGACTTTGGAACAGAGTGCCACCTCTGTCCACTCCATCCCACCTACTCCGCCAGCCCCCCAGCTGTCACCTAGCTGCAGGGACCCTGAAAAGCTAGATCCAGGCCCAGTGCCCAGAGTGAGGGGTTTGGCAACAGATGTCCCCTTGCCCAATAGACAGACTTTCAACTGTAAGCGGAGATGGTTCCTTTGTCGTCTCCACCCTCAGAAGCTCTAGAAACTTGCAATTCTTTTAAGAGGGGGAGGAGGAGGGCTGGGGTGTGGGACAGATGGCGTTTGCCCATCTGTAGGTAACGCAGTCCCTTGGCTTCGTCTCTGGCTGCCTGGACTTGCTTCATTAGGACTTGCCAACTCCCAGCCCTCGGCAGAAGGAAAACCCTCTCCCTTAATAGTTTGCTTTGGCATGAGCTCAAGGCCAAGGGGCGGGGGAACACCTGCTGCCTTCCAGAGGGGATCCCTACCCCCTCCAGGAGGTGACACCTGCTCTCAATATGATCCCCATGGAGACCTAGCTGTGAATAGACATTAAAAAGCCATGTAAGGACCATTACGAGGACTCATTTGCCATGGCCCAGTGACTGCACGTAGTAGGTGCACAACTATTCAGATGGCATCTTTTTCAGTCTCCAAAAAAAGGCAGCCTCTGCCAGAGGGTGGCCAGCTCCAGTGTCTACCTCCCTTCACTGAAGGGTCCACAGTTACCGAAGGCTGGCCGTTCTGCCCCCTGCCCGTCCCCGCACCTCGGGAGAAATGAGACAGGGTCCAAGGAGAGAGTGACTCACTGAAGAGGGTCTCCAGGCGGGTCACACAAGCAACGAAGCCATCGAAGTCGACGCTGAGCGTGCTGCTCGCGTGCCGCAGGGCGATGGTTTGCTGCACCTGGTCGCCGAGGGTGAACCCTGCGGGGAGAGGGGCCCGCGTCACAGGTGAGTGGAGGGCTCGCCTCCGGCAAAACCGATCTTGCAGGGGCCAGGCCCCACTCTGCCTCCTCCAAGGCACAGAAGCGTCGGGTCACCCAACCCATCTCCTGTGCGATGGCTGCATTAGGACAGCCCCTCCCGGGCCCTGGGGTAGGCCCGTGGCTCCAGCACTAGCAGAGGCTTCACGTTCGCCACACGCGTCACAGGTGAGTGGAGGGCTCGCCTCCGGCAAAACCGATCTTGCAGGGGCCAGGCCCCACTCTGCCTCCTCCAAGGCACAGAAGCGTCGGGTCACCCAACCCATCTCCTGTGCGATGGCTGCATTAGGACAGCCCCTCCCGGGCCCTGGGGTAGGCCCATGGCTCCAGCACTAGCAGAGGCTTCACGTCCGCCACAGCAGGAAGAAGCGGAGGCGCGGGGACGGGGTCGGGGACAGGGACGGGGTCGGGGACAGGGACGGGGACAGGGACAGGGATGGGGACGGCCTCTCCTGCCACCTCCTCCACAGCCCCACCCTTCGTGATCGCTGTCACCTTCCCTGTGACAGGCACAGTCCTTGGGAAAAGTCTGAGGTACTTCACTCTACAGAAGCCAGCAACATTCCCTCTTCCCTCGGTCGAGGTGTTCAACAAATCTTTGTCGTCACGCTGATGTCCGCCATACCACAACTACCACCGGTGACCTAGCCGTCGTCGTAATAAGAACAACTAAACTGGGCACATCTGGGCTCCAAAACCTTGTCCCCAGGATTGAGGGCTGTCCTCATCTCATGGGCATCAATGGTCCCCAAGTGGTTATTATCGGTTCCCCGGTAGATCTCCTAAAGCAGGAGAGAAATTCCAGGCAGAAAACAGCCGTTCGCGGCCCCTTCCAGAACTATCTCCCTCCACCCCACCGCATCCTTAGAAGGCCAGGGACACCCTCAAGAGGAGACCTCACTGACTCCTCCAGGAAGGTTTCAGAGCAAAGATGAGAACTCGAGCTGAGGCCGCTGCTGGCCCCTCTGCCCTGAGTGACAGGGTTCCAGGGAAGGCATTGGCACAAGCGTCTCTCATTGCTTTCTTAGTGCGTCCTGAACGATGCGTCCAGGTTCGGGGCTGGCGTTGACCCTGATTCAGGAGCTGGTCAGAGGAGGGCAGGAAACAGACTAGGAATGAGTGTCCGAGAGCGCGGGGGGCTGGAAACACAGCAGAGCAGAGCGGTCAGAGTCCAGAGGATGCCCGGCGGGGTCGCGAGAGTTACCAGGTCCTTCTGAATCTTCAGCCACAGCGTCTTGAATTCCACGAGTCCCAAGGTGCCCGTCCCATTGCTCTAGACATGTTAAAGGCCAACATGATCGTGTGCAAATTCTACACGCCTCGTGGATTGCTTTCTCTTGTGTCTTAAGACTTCAGTGAAAGTTCCCTCTGTAATAAGCAGGGCCCCGGGGGTCAAGGTGGGAAGGGTTGTCAGGAAACAATTTCAAATAAAGATTAAAGAGTCAAACACTCACTAAGGACCTCCTCTGAGACGTCTGGGAGCAAAGGGCGAGCGAGCCCAAAGCCCGCGGCAACATTGTTCATTAGCATCTAACGCCTGAGTCATCCAGAGTTCCTGAAAGGGTTGAGCTGGAAGATCTGTAAAGTCGCTTCCAGATTTAAAATTCCGTGATTTCTGGGTAGAATATCAAAATGTTATTGGGAAAATCATCAGGAGCCCGGGATGGGAACGCTCAGCCACAGCAGTCTGCGTGTGTTTGTCCACGTGCCTGGAAGGGATCCCCAAGCTTCTCCACACTGATTCCTGGGATGTTGGGGCACAGCTGGATCCTAGGCGCCTACTCAACCAAAACAGGTAGAAAGTTCTATGGAATTCTCTGCATCCGACTTACATTTACCCTACAAATCTTAATGAGCCTGGGGTAGACAATGGGGATTTGGTTTTGAATTGTCCCTCATGATTGGAACTCTACCCTTTTCTCAGAAATCACAAGTAATCAACCACCACCACTGTGTTACAGCACAGACGTTAAAATTCTAAAGCAGCCCGTCACGCCCACCTCCTTCGGCTAACCAGACCCAAAGCCAGGTCCACACAGAGTACGAGCCTCACCCTCGGTGAGGAGGAGATTTTCACTTCATTGGTCAACATTTCTAATCACACAGAGTACGAGCCTCACCCTCGGTGAGGAGGAGCTTCCCACTTCATTGGTCAACATTTCTAATCAGTTCTCTTTTTTTATTATTTTTTTCTGCTTCTGTAAACATGCTTGCTGCATAGGCCAAAGATCTCGGGGTCAACTGAGAACTCACCCTCCCCTAAAGATGTATCACTTTAGTGCTTGTTAGAAAATCCCACGCTCTGTAACTGCCCGGAGCCCGTAGTGATTTCAGGGGTCTGTGAATCAGCCCGTGCCAACTGTAACAACGCGGGTCTAGAAGCGAAATCGCCCCTAAGCCCTGCGCCCAGATGTTCAGAGCGCCAGCTCTCCTGGGACCACCAGCTCGTCAAACTGAGTTCTCCTCTCTGGGTCACTGCTTGGATTTTCGCTGGTCTGATATTTGGAGCTTTGGAGATTTTTCCATAACATCGAGAGGTCTCTGCTCTTGTCTCTGTGAGCCCCACCTGAGTGATGAGTGCACTGCAGCCTTCCAACCCTCACTAATAATTCCCCCGACGCATCCCGGAATAGTAACGCTTGGGGTCTAGAACCTTCAAGTCCTCATG